TATTTAAACATGTCAGAAAAATGATACATATAATCTTAATCATGAAACTTTTGTATAAGAACAGAATTTTGCCTTCAAGTATATTGCAAATTTATGCCATTCCTTTTTCGGTAACGTAAGTTACCACACTAATTTTAGGCTTTTACACTGTTTAAATTGAAAAATAATAATTATTTTAATTATATTCCTTTTGGTTTTGATTGTAATTTTACGAAATCACTTTATTTTAATATGTGTATTCATATTATTTGTTTGCTTCTAAGTTCTCAATGCAATAAAGTTTATGTGAATGTAACGTAAGTTACCGTGGAATAGCCCTACTTCTCTTACGCGAGCACCTCTTTTGTGAACATATTTCTTCGTCCCCCATTTTAGCAAGGTTTCCCTGAATTAAAGATGTCGGGCCTAGTCAGTTATTTCAGCTTGATTTTTTAATATACTTGATTTGCTGTACATTTGCCTTTATTAAATATATTTGATGATAAACTTGATTTATTTGGAAACAGGTGAACTACATGGATTTCTAAAACTACCTATTTAATGTTTTAAGGTTACTATAGTTCTGAATATGGTTCTGTCGGACATAAATGTTATCTGGCGCTCAATATTCCGAGTCCGAGTACCCGGTACCGGGTATTGAGACGAAAATCAGGGTCCTTGTAATAGCCAGGTAATTCAAATCTGGCCGGGAAGCTAATTTACTATCCAGCTGCCTTTAACGACTCGTTCTCATTTTTGGAGATTTTTCTCTTTTTTTAGTTGATCGCATAATACAAGTTTTTATTTCTTTTAAAGTTTGTTACCTGGACAAAAAAAAAAGTCAAGTATCAAGCTTTTTTATCTAAGAAAATGCCAACCATGAAAGCGAGTCGTTAAACGCTGCCGGAGTCCGGATACCCAGTACATCTCCAGTAAAAATCAATTAAAAATAGAAAAAGAACGTTTTTTTCCCGTGTGCGGCGCATTACAGACGAGATGGACTCATTAGCTGAGATAAATGTTCGAGCTCATGATAAAATTTTCGTATACTTTCGTTCGATCTTCAAACAAATTTTTTTCACATTTTAATTAACTATTCGAATAAATCTTCAAACTACAACTGAACCCCGATATCTATAAAAATCTGTTTGATTTTATTACTAAGTATAACAAAAATCACTAAGTACAAACAATTTAGAAACATTAAATATCATGATCCAAAAATATGTTACTTCCACTAATATAAATTACGATAATTTTAGCCTAATCTAATATATAGAGAGCTTAATGTAAAGGGGAGCCCCACCTCATTTCTACTCTGCATTGTTCTCTTAGAACAATATCTTTTCAAAAAAAAAAAAAAAATTATTTTTTTTCTCTTTACAATTTTTACCTATCTACCACCAAAACTCAATAAATAATACTTATTAGTGTTTACAATTATCAAAAATGGCCTAGATGCCTCTCAATAGCTTTTATATATATCTGTTATAAAACTATATACATAAAGTTATGTCCAATGTGCAAAAAAAGAAGAAAAAAAACGGAGGGAACACCCTGAATAATTATTGATCTAATAATAAGTATCTATCTTAATGGTTTACAGTGACCTCGAATAGGCCAATTAATTAGGGCAGATAATATTTTAAGTTACAAAATCATTTATAATAGCGTACTTTCTCTGAATAAACACATTTGATCCTTAAAATATAGGGGGAGGGCAGCCACAATCTGGAAAATATGGTCTCAATAGTCTGAACAGGAGAGCCGTTGAAAGTTAGGTAAATTTTACTTTCTGCGTATTTCGGTAAATCTCGCAAACTTATATTCAAAATTTGTGAGCGTAATTAATTAGCCTATTTGATAATTAATTAGCCCCGTGAACTATTATGTTTGAGTTATCATACGCGCATTCTTAGGTGGAAACGTAATTAAAGACACGCTCTTGGAATTTACAATTTCGATAACTTACCACTTTTTCTTGGAACTAAAAACAGTCAGTTTTTCCTTTTCAACGACATACTTTATTGAGTACAAAAAGCGACTTCTCAAATTCACTTAAAATGACTATGTTAAGCAGATAAAAGCCGAAGCACAAGCAGCCACCAATAAGTTTCACGCCTGTCTATTCTACTCCAAAATGGACCTAAACCTTTAACGTCTTCCCTACATGTCGATAATCAGACCGATCATCGCATATGCATACTCTGCATGATGCAACATCAGCTAAGGACTTAAGGAAAAACTCAAAAAACTTCGAAGCATGCTCCATGGTTACTACGAAAACGTGAGATCCACAATGACTTAAACATTAAACCGTTAGATGTGTTTGTTCATTGACAAGTTAAATACAAACTTCAAAAAAAAAAAAAAAAAAAAAAAAAAAAAAAAAAAAAAAAAAAAAAAAAANAAAAAAAAAAAAAAAAAAACTTGACTGCAACACTTCCAACTCCAGTGAGCATTTCAGTTTTAAAATGCTCACTGATGATGTTAAAATTCGAAAAACTGCCCTTTTTTTCGGCAAATAATTTGTTTTATTTATTAATTTTCAACTAATTACTACCTGCTCCTCAACCGTATGATATTTGCAAATATAATTACTATCTATTATGTAGTATGGAAATATATGTGAACCTCAGCTATTTTGCTTTTGTTTCACCTCAACTTAACTGTAATTATACTTTCACCTCAATTAATATGTTTTTACCTTTATTTCAACAAATTTTTTAATCCTCATCTCCAACTAGTACATAATGTTCATGTTTTTTTCTGCAAATATACATGTCTTTTGTTAAATTTCTCATCAACAAATTGTACATAACGATTTTTTCCCCGACAAATATTCTGTCAACAATTGTGAGCATCAATTTTCAGATGCTGTTTTTAATTTTAAAAGCAACACAACCTGAGCCGCATTACATGGAGAGGAAAACCACGAAAACCTCCTGTGGATAGGTCAACGGCAGGGGGATTAAAATAAGCACTCAACAAATTTGGAGCCTTAAAACGGAGAAAAAAAATTACGTAAGCCATTAAGTGCACAACCTAAAAAGGCACGCCTGGAATTAGCTAAAAAGTATAAGATCAGAAGTAAAAAAAATGGAAAAATGCAGTTTTCAGTGATGAAAAAAAAAATTTACACTTAGTAGATGGATTGGATAAAATGCGATATATAAAAGTAATTAACAGCGCCAAACTTTAAGAAGTACACAATGTATAATTGATTAACTAGTCCGCAAGAGAGCATGTAAGTTTTTTTTTTTTTTGGTTAATGGCAGCCACTTGGTCTATTTCCCATTGGCCGCAGAAATGCCAGAATTGCTACTCTCTTATCATTACCCAGTGAGCACCTATGGCTAAGCCGCGGCAGTGGAGTCGCGTCGCCCACGTCATACAACCACAAACCCGCTTATAGGGCGGGTTACATTCACACAAAAGAAAGGACATAGAACACTGAGAGAAAGAAACATCCATGCCCTGAGCAGGATTCGAACCCGCAACCATCGGCTCCGCAATCCGGCACGCTAACCACTCGGCCACCTGGTCGGCACATATAAGTGAATGTAAAAACATGCTATAATGGATGCATCGAGAAAAACGTTAAGTAGTAGGATTTTCAGAGACTTTAGTGGCATAACTTGGATATTTATTGTCGAATGATTGTTATTTATGACAAACAATGTGTAAGATAAAACTGGCGTAAGAGTTTCTGTTAATAGCGCTAGATTATATCTATATTAGATCTACCAACACCCAGGACAAGAGAACACCACGATTTCCCACGTATCCATTGCTGCTGTTAATGAAAAGATTAATGGTAATAGAAGAATAGTGTATCAGTTGTCTTGCGATATCAATGCAGCACTTAAGAGAAATGGAACAGTGCGATCCCATTCAATAACAAAAAAATCACACTATACTATTCATTATCTAGTTCTGAAAGTCATTCTTCTTAGCATCAATTTGCATTCACTTTAAATGATCAAAGTTATTCATTAGTTATACCAAAGAAGGCAGTGCTCTTCTTTTTTCTTTCTTAACCGATGCAGCATTGTAAACACGGAAAGAACAGGCGATGCTTAAAAATGTTAGTGTCTTCTTTGAAAGTGGAAACACTTCAAGGTAATTTTCTAAAAATGGGTGAAATGTTGACTCAGTTAATAAAACTGAATGATAGCACTGCTATTGGTTATTGCATTCCTAGTATTATTTTTTTTTTTCGCATATTGAAATTTCACATTTTCTTAGAATATTATCTACCTGAAGCAATACCTAAAATTATTTTTCTTTTCAAAACCTTTTCTAATCACTTGGTCATTTAGCTTTCCTTTTTTTTTTTTTTTTCTTCTGTTGCTTTTTTCTAGCTTTCATCTTTTTCTAAATAATTTTGGTTGGAAAAATTATCTGTTCCAAACCCAAAATAATTTCTTAGTTATCAGAAACAAAAAAGGCTCCATATTATACTTTCTTAAACTTGAAAAAACGTTCAATCTGGCATTCATAGCAGCTTTATCATATGACAAATATGATGGTAGGTTTGATTCAAATTGTCAAAATGTTTTGAAAATGTCACTTCTTATACAAAATCCTTTTGCTGATAACTCTTTTGCATAATCATGCCATTAACTATGCAAATATATTGCCAGAAATTTCACTAAAAAATTACATAAAATCATTCATCTAGATGAAAAAAAAATAGATTATAAATTATTTTTTATTCAAACACATTTTACAATATTAAAAAAACATTCAGATATTTTACAATATTAATTCAGAGTAAAACATGCTATTATATTATATTTTCTGGAATAAAGACAAATAAGAGCAAACAACAAATTTTTCTCTGAAAATATTTTTACATTGTCATCTCATAAAACTGCATGATTTTGAAAAAAGATAGTAAATACATAATAGTAAAAAATACAGATGACAGAAAAATGTTATCTTATAAGACTGATCACTTAGTGATAAAAACAATTGAATCAAGGAGTCCAAAAACCAGTCACCACCACTTTTTTTTAAAATTCAAAATTGAGATTTTTTCATTTTTAGGTTTAGCTGACATAGATACATAGCTAAATTATATTTAAAAAAAAGAACATGCCCTCCTATTTGGTGTAGTGAAATTATTTTGTGCAGTGAAATCTCTATTTAATTCAAAAACACACCATATCCTGAAGATGACCTATTCTCGGAATAAACTTCAAGATATACCGCCAAATGGCTGCAGTAGTTGCTTATGAAATTGTATGCATAACCTAATACTTTTATTTAGTTTAGGCTTGCTATTTTGCTAATGCTTTTTACCACACAATGAGTGATTCAGAGGATAGTTCTTTAGAATACGTATTCATGAAAAGAAAGAGGGATAAAAGTAACTATGAGCCACATAAAACAAAAATGACAAGAGTAAAGGGTTCGAAAATTATAAATAAAAAATAGATTCCTCCTAAGAGATGTGCAGGTAAGAATTACTAAATAGAATATTAGATCATATATTTGTTATTAATACTTAACATAATATAATATTATTATTATTGCTGTTTTTATTTTAGTGACTAGTATTTTAGTGACTATCAATTTAATGTGCTTTTGTTTATAGACATAGAAATGTACATTATTTTAATTTGGATTTGTTTTTATCATAGGGTTGCAGGATGAAATGTTTTTCTAAATTTATGTCATAAGGGAAATCTGTAATTCTTAGTCATATTAACAGTTTTAATCATAAATTCACAGGATAGTTTCTTATATTCACTTATTGAATACTGAAATATTCACAGAATTTGATGATCTGAAAATAAGAAAACCATATGCAAGCCTAAAGAAAAGACTTATAGTTACCACATTCTTTGAAAGGGAGTTGGAACAAAAGTATTCACTACATGGCATAACCAAGTCTTGTGTTGAAAGCCTTCAATGACATACTGTAATGGGTCAATCACCAGTTGATTTTAGGGGTCTCAGTGATGTTTCCAGGCATAACGTAATGAGTAGTGATATTTGTTCAAATATTTATGATTTTATTAGTTTTTTATACATTAAAGAAATTCATTACTCAAAAAATGTCGAGAAAAAATTTCTGTCCAATCGTTTAAGCACCAAAGTGCTTCAACGAATTCAATAACAATTTTTTTTTTGGAAGTTTAAGCATCACACCATTTCTTCTGGCTGCAATTTTAGCCGAGCTCTTGGAAGACCACAAATTGATGTGTGTAGTTGTTACAAAAAAATGTCGATGAAATTGAAGGACTTAAATTTACCTGACATTGATTAAAAATTGTTGCAGCTGAACCCATGGTGCACAGAAGACATGCAAAAAAATCTTTTATTAAAATAGATGGGGTAAAAAAAAAAATCTGTAGTCGTAATGATAACACTGGCATCAGAGTTGAATATATGCAAAATCTGTTACTTCTTAACTTTCCAGTCCAGGAAATCTTTTGTTAAAGGCAAATGAGAATAAAAGAATTTTGCATGCATGATCTAAAATTGAGTGAATATATATTTCACACCTCTCATGAAAGAATAGCCAATAAAGGGCTAAATGAGTTTTGTTCTTAATTTGATTCTTTAAAAAGTGTGAAAGGAGACAAAGATAATTTGTTTTGTTTTGATGATTGCCCAGGGCAGAATCAAAATCCCACAGTAGTGAGATTTCTAATATCTCAGGGTCATCACCATTTTTTCCCAATATGTGGCCATTCAATTAATCCTTGTGACCATGATTTTGGGGTGGTTAAGAAAAAAAATGGTAGTCCGTGTATACACTCCTCAACAACAAGCTACACTGATAGAATCATTAACCACATTCTAGAATTTTAATGTATGGAAGGTAAATACAAAATATGATACTTGATTTCAAAAGCTAGTGGCCAGAGCATAATAAGAAAAATATGTTTTTAAAATACTTCTATGGAAAAGCAACATACAAGAAACAACAATTATAGAATTTTAATTCATAAAAGCTCTACACCTGGTAAAGTTGAATTTGTGATTTATGCAAATTAATATTTACTCTAAAAAAAAGTGCCCCAAAAGAGGCTCCACTACCAGTTAAGGAAGCATAGTTGAAAAGTTGCCATAAGTCAAAAGAAAATTGCAAACATCAAAAAAATTCTATAACATGTGATTTGAATGATGATGATTCCAAATGAGCTTTTATCTTTCGATATAGAAATTTTCATGCAGCCTAGTGTAGATAGTGTTAATCGAGAAGATGTTTCCTGAATCTTCACAAATATCTATGCATACATAGTCTAAGATTCAGCCTTTATTTTATTTCTAAATGACAAATTATTAATATTTTTGCTTGTTAAAAATAATGCATAGTATTTGTTTTAAGGTGAAATAAAGGTTAAAGTTAAGAAAAACTGGTGCAAACTTCTAATTATTTATGAAAATAAAAAATTGGATGATGTTATTGCATAGTTGCAATACAATATTTTGTAACCAGTCATATTTTAATATTAAGTAAAGTTCTACACATCAAGCAGTTATTTAACTGTTTTATTTGTCTGTTCTGTAAAATTAGTTTTGGTGGAGAAATTCCGTTTTCTGAACTCATTGATTTAATAGTAGGTTTCTAAGTAGTGAAATCTCCTATAAATAATTGTGATACATGGAACATGAACGGCTCATTAGTATTGAAGTTAAAATAAAAAATAATAGCAAGAAAAGAAAAAAAAGAGGCTGCTAGCCAATAAAATGCTATTCTTACAAAAAATTGAGTACCATTTTTTAATTGAATTGGATAAAGTTTAGTAGTTTTTAAAGTAGAGACATTTAAGGAAGTTCTTCATTGAAACTGAGTTTTCACAACATAATAGCTTAATTAGCATCGATTTTATTCTATCACTGCGTAATTATATCACAAATCGAAGCCTAATTATCAACACATTGGGTACATAAAGATGAGAAAAAAATCATGACAATTTAACATGATTTTAAACAAATACACAGTTATTTATTAATTTCAACAGAATTTTAATGGGTTAACAGGCAGTCTTCTTCTCATCTTCCTCAACACGAAATGATTCACACATTAACTTATAACATTTTAAAATAAGCAGAACATTTATAACAACAAACTGCATCAAAAATAAACTTTTCACTAATGTTGTGCTTGAAAGTTAAAACCGTATGCAATGCAATATGCAAAACATAGAGTAAAAAACTCATCAGCAAAGATTTTAAAAACAATTCAATTAAACCTTAAAACATATTATGCTGTAAACGTTTATAACAGTATAAATGGGAGTTGAACTAAGTAACTAAAAAAATTAGTTTCTTTCATTATGTCAGCATCTCTTAAAAACATTATTACAATAATTCCCTTGAAAGATAAAACATTATATTTAAAGTGAGTATCAATACTTAAATACAACAGTGAGTATCAATACTTTATTTTTATAGTTATAAAATAAACTTTTCACTTATATTTTTCATCAGTAATCTAGCAAATTATGAACACATTTGTTTTCTTGCTATGTAAAATAGATATTTAATAGATCTCACCAAAAATTAAGACAAATATTTCCATAGGGTTAAATTGTAATTGAAATAATTGTAATTAAATAATTGATTTTAGATGAGTACTTTATTGATAACTGATTGATAATGAAATACAGAACAAAACAAAATGTTTTTTAATGTTACTAAATAAGTTTTAAAATATATATTAATAATGCATACGATAAAAACTTTCAGGGAAAGACTGGTTTCATAAATAAATGAAAAAAAGATGTATACACATCAGTATGAATGTGAAACGCAATGTGTCCACAAAAGCAATCCTAAGAAAATGTCTTTTCTAGGTAGAGTTTACACTATTTTAAACAACGTTCAAAATATGTGGCACCAACATACCCTCCTGACATTGCTTTCCTCACATTTTGCTCAAAGCTTCTTTTATTATTACGTAAGACTTCAGCTGCATCTTTATTTAATGGATCATCTGGATTTGGCTCCTGTGGAGAAAAGTTAATATGAAAATCTACACAATTTGATTATTTATTTAAGCTATGGCAGAACAAATCCCCAAAATATTAAATGTATTTGAAATATTAAAATATAATTTATTATTTTTGAAATGTTTCACCATCTTAACATTTAAAATTAAAAATATTTTATTAACCACATCCTGAGAATACATAATTTCTTGATATACAGATTAATTATTGGAAATTTAACAGAATTTTAACAGATTAAAGGTTAACCTAAGACAATTAAGAAAAATTCATCTCTTAATTAATTTATTGTTGATAATTTTTACATTAAGAATATATATTTAAATATACAAACTGGCAAATTTTCCATGATTAGCAATGACCAGTATCATTTTCTCTCCTTTCTTTGCAAAGATCAAGCAAGGTGACAGGAGGAAGATTGATTCTTCAGGAGTGAAATAGCTTAACAATATTTTTAGCTATGGATAAGGTAAAAATTTACATGCCTTAAAAATAAAATGATGAAAAATGGTGAAAAGTTGCATTCTTTTTTCTTGCAATTTAAAGCAGAAAAAGTTTTGTTTTCAAATTTAGAAATAATAGTGCCCGGTTTGAAGAGATAAAAAAGTGAAGTGAATAAGAGTGCCCGCTTTGTTGAGAATGTAAATAATGGTTAATTCAGAGAAGATTCATGGGGAATTAAAAAATATGTCTGTATTGAGAGGCCTCCCTTTCGTAGGAGTATCCATAACAGGTTTCACTGTGTGGGTGTGTATATATATATATATATATATTTATATA